AATTGAATTTATTTTTGTATAAACTATCTAAATAAAAAAATTAAGTAGTTGAGTAATTTATTAAACTATAAATAATTGATTATTCTATTTACGTCCAAGTTAATACTAACCCGTAAGTTATTAAGAATAACTTATTTGACTTTTAAATTTTGAAACCAAATTTAGACTACACAATAAATTCTTTATATATATTATCTCTCAATTTTTTAAATTTTTTTTTCGGTTACCTTATTGTTCAAATTTATCAACTAATTCTCTAAAATTAAATTACAAATTTTAAATTTTATTAACTAATATTTGTTCAAAAATCTTTCTGACATTCAAAAGGAATACAGATCAATTTGAAAAATTATCATCAAAATCGTGTTGGTTGATCAAATTTTTAAGGGAAATGATGTACATATTGTATTATTTAAACCGTAAAGTTGTGAATTATTTGTAGAATAAATCAATTTGTAGTATATGAAATCCTCAATTTTTGGAATAAATCAATTCGTAGCTTTTGAGCCTACATTATATGGAATCCTCAATTTTTGAATTGTTATATTCTAAATAGTTTTATATTGAATAACCACTATTGTGTGATTTTATGCATCATAACTGACTCATGAACCGATCTATCAAACGTGTTGGGGTGAATCAATGAAGATATTATTTAACAAAATCAGTTAGTACTAATCACATTTATCGTAGTAGTTGGAATCCTCAATTTTAAAAAATATTTGAAGTGATATGTTTTTATCATGTTTAGGAAACTGGTACATTCTTTAATTAAAAAAAAAATCAATTTTAAACAGAAGACCAATATAATCGGTTAAAAAAAAGGAAGTCAAATATATTGCTAAAATAAAAATATGTTTTCCAAATAAAAAGGAACTTGAATTTATCCGATATGGAAGGAATCTCATCCAAAACATATTGAACTCATCCAAAACATACTGAATTTTGGAATGAAAAAATTCAAACTTTCGAAAAAATTTCAAACAAAATATTAGAGGGAAAAAAGTGATTTGAGCGGTAAAATGAAATAATTTTTCAAATATTTTTTCTTCTCTCTATTATATAGTAATAGATGACAAATAATAAAAATAGGAGAAAGTATAAATAAAGTTTTGATTTTATACTTGGAATATACTATATTACTTAAATTTAAAAAACAATAATGTGAAATTAATATAATAGTTATAAGTATTAAATATATTTTAAGAGATTTTTGTATTTAAACATATTAATTGGTATATTTATATAAGCACCCTAAGTCCTAAGCCACAGACCACCGTCTAGTAATTTTTGAAATATTACTAATGGACCGATGGTTATATCAGTCCACTCATTACGCCAATATACTATTATCACTTTATCATTCATTCATACTTTTAAGAGTAAATTATAATCTTCATCCGTATGTTTCACTACTTTAACTATTTCGTTCTCTTCGAATTGCGTTTTTTATTTTTGTCCCGTATGTTTAAAAAAAAGTTACAAAAAAGTTCTTTTCGCAACAAAAATGTCCTTTATGTTTTGCAAAAAGTGTTCCAATTATGTCCCTTATGTATGAAAAGGACATTTTTGTATCATTTTTTCAAACATACGGGACAATATCAAAAACGCAATTTTAAGAAGACGAAAAAATTAAAGTAGCGAAAGCTAGAATTTTGAGCATTAAACACATTGATCCTACAGCCAGAGAAGTGGATATGGTCCTTTGATCAGAAAGGGTTCTTTTCTGTTGCAAAGACATACTCACACTTAATGTAGGATAAACGAAGAAAAATGGATTTGGCTGAGAGCATCTCTGGATCAGACATGAGCAGGAGAGTTAGAAACAGAAGCTGGAAGCTAAATGTGAAAAATAAGCTCAAACACTTCCTTTGCTGGTGCTACACCAACACATTACTTGTGGGGGAAAATTTAAAGAGAAGAGGAATGAATGTAGACTCATTCTGTTTTACATGTGGAGAGGCAGAGGAATCAGTTGAGCACCTCATGTTTTCTTGTACCAGAGCTAAATGTATATGGAAACTGTCACCTATTACATGGGATGGAATTACCACAAGCACTGGAAATTTCAAGGAATGGTGGTGGAAAGCTTGCTCCATCAACAGCCTACCATCTTCAAAGGATAGACTCAAGTTGTCCACTTACATTTTGTGGTGGCTCTGGAAGTCCCGGAACTTATGGAAATTTCACCAGACACTAATGCCAGAAGTTGAAGTGGTAAAATGTGCATGGAAAGAATGGATGGAATACAGAATGGCTAAAAGCTCTCCTCATTAGCTGGGAATGTTGTAACTAGGTCCATTATGGTTCAGTGGTTATTGCATGATCTAGCTGGTTTGCTTGCTGATTAATTGAACTTCATTATTATGATGGCTATAAGCTAAACATGTATTGCTGTGGCTGAAGGATTCAAGTAGTATTCTTGCCTTCAGTGGCTATTTATAATTATTTTGTTGTAGGTCGACTATTGATCGGTTCTCTCTTGTATTTTGCTATGAGTGTTTGTTTCATTTTTGTTACATTTTTTCATATTGTTTTATTGTTCTTTTTCCCCCATTTTAGGTATTTTTGTTGGTTTGTAGTTCATTCTGTTGATTATATTTCCCTTTATTTTAGTTCTTTTTGTGTTTTTCGTATGTTTTTCCCGTTTTTATTCTTGTTTTTGATATGCAGGTCAGAAGCCCGTGAGGAATAAATTTAGCTCGAAAACAGGCCAAAATATCGTGGTTAGATAGATGGGTTCGTTGGCTACAAGTAGGAAAAAGCATAATTCGATTTCGAGTTCGGACGAGTCCGAACGGGCCCGATATGTGAAGTCGCGCACGGAAGCCATCACCTACTAGTCATAAGCTTTGAGAGAATTGGATTTTAAGAATAATTTGACCATTCAAGCATCATTGAATAGAGGGGTTCGATAGCGACACGTAGGAAGAAACGAAACTCAATTCCGAGTTCGGACGAGCCCAAACGGACCCAAGAAGCAAAGTCCAGCAGGATGCCAGAGCCTTAGCGCCGCTAAGGTGCCTTAGCGGCGCTAAGGCACACAGGATAGCGGCGCTACACGGTACTGGCTCGAACGGCTAACGCACCTTAGCGGCGCTAACCCCCCTTAGCGGTGCTAAGGCCCCTGCAAGTCCCAGAATGGTATAAGAACCCCAAAAACTCGTTTTCTTCTCCATTCTTTGACCACCAGCTTGAAGGGGGAGGAACCCTAGGTCCGAAAATCGCCTCCCCCCTTTATTTTTCTCCTTCTTCTTCCTCTTCTCCTTCCTCTCCTTTCTCCTCTTCTTCTTCTTCTTCTTCTTCTTCTTCATTTTTCCTCCTCTTGTTATCTTTCTCTTCCATTTTTCTTCTTCTTTTTAATAATTAGGTATTAAGCTTTGTAAGTGGATTCAACACGTGAATTTGGATTGATTGTAAGTATTTCTTTCTCTTGTTTAATTCATGAATAATGGTTGAATTGGGAGAAATGAATTATTGTGTTGAATTCAATTTGCGTAGCTAATTCCTATTGCCAGTGATAGGGGATGATTGTTCTTGTTTAAATTGTATTTGTAGGCTTCGATTTGTTCATACTTATGTGAGTTGATTTAGTTCAGAATTGATGAATTTGTGCCTGATAGTTTGATATAATTGAAGGGTGACACTTCGATCTTGCAATTGGTAACGATTGGACATTGAATTGTCGAGTTATGGTTTGTTGATTCTATATATAAGTTGATTAAACACCTTCTAATTGAATTGACGACTTTTAGAACCGTAAGGGGAGAAGTCGTAGACCTAGGCACGCATGAGATAGATGATTTCGTAATTGAATAGTCTATAGGTTTTGGATTGAAATACGTGCTTGTCGATGACCCGTCCCTTGTTACGAAAAGTTATTGGGATTGGAATAATTGGCATGTGTTGTATACTCGAGCTTGTTCGTCTATGTTCAATCCCTTGTTACGAAGTTATTGGGAGCGAACCGCTAGATGTTTAAACGAGAGTGTCAATCTAAAATAGAACAATTAATGTCCCGGTTTTGCGAATAGAACTTGAATTAATTATCTCCGACTCTCTAGCTTCTTCATCTTTGTTCGTTTATATTTTAGGTAGATTATTGCCTTTTATTATTTGTTAGCTGATAATTATTCAAACCCCCTTATCTGATTAGAGTGTTTAGGATTTATTTTATTTTCGTGTGTAATCGACACCAAAGCTAGATTCCGAACCGTCTTCCTCGAGAGATCGACCCGGGAAACGAATCCTTGATTCGATACTCGGTAAAATATAACAATTTGTACACAACAATGAGGCTACGTAGTCTCCCGGGTTGTAAATACTTTTTCAGTTGAATGAATGAATTTCCTATCNCTTTTAATTAGAAAATGTTGTATTTCAAAAAATACCATAAAAAGTCTGACCCAATGTTTGGACAAATTGAACACAGAAAACAACATAAAAAAAGTGAGATGAACTAATATTTCTTTGAGTAAACTGCAATTTTCGTCATACATGTTTCATTACCCTAACTTTTTCGTCCTCTTCAAATTGTGTTTTTTTATTTTCGTCTTGTATGTATCCAAAAAGGTTACAAATAGGTCTTTTTCATACATAAGGGACGAAATTAGAACTTATTTTTGCAAAATATAAATGACCTTTTTTGTTGCGAAAATGACTTTTTTGTAATCTTCTTGCAAACATACGGAACAAAAATAAAAAAACTCAATTCGAAGAGGACGATACATGATTAAAATTACAATTTACTCTATTTCTTTATTTGTTTGATGGATGAAAAGGGGGGTTGATTTTTGACAGTAACCTCAACATATCCGCAATTTCTCAATTTGTTTACTACCAAAGACAAGCAACTGAGCAAATCTGCCTATGTCCAGTAACCTATTGTGTAACCAATGAGTGCTTTATTAACTCAATTTGGCGTAACACAGCCAATACACATCGACATCATAGACATCAGTCATCACAGATTAATAATAAAATTAGAAACATCTCCACAATTTTGAGAGCGCGTTGCAACATACCATATATAATAATATAAGATCAAAGGTTAACAAAGTAGGACAATTAGAATTTGAGATAAATTTATTGATAAATAGTAAAGCATCCTTCTAAAAGATAATAATTGTCTGTAACACCACCAACCACTTCTTTAAAAACCAAAGAAAACAAGACAGAACACTCTACCAAGACTTGAGTTGAGACCAATATATACATAACATTGAGCAATGGCCTTTTCCTTAGTTCCTATAAACCACCACATCTTATAAACTCAAGCAATCTCCTTAAGAGACTCAGCCGTGCCATAGCTGGTCGGGACCTTCTCATCCGACTCCTCAAAATAATCAGCACGTACATTATCGGCCAACATTAGAGCAACAAGCCAGAAAAGGCAAGAATCGAGCGAAAGGAAGGCCCCACCGCCTAGAATACCCGTTTTAGCCGTTGGGCATTTGAACTCCAAATTGTGGTGCACGTTGTTGATGCGGTGATTATGCCCCTGGATCGTGGGCCACAGCAAGAACGCCAGCGCTAAACCAAAGGTGCCCCTATAACAAAGAGAAGGAAATAGATAAACGATCACAAGAAAAAAAATCAGTTAGTCATTTATTCAAATTTTAGTTCAAGGAGTTTGATCGTAACTGTAACAGAGATTTTTGCTTTTGTCATTTACTCCCTCCTATTCTTTTTATTCGTCATTTTGGCTTTATTGATCATTAATCAAATAAATGACGTTTTGGATCGTGTAAACATATTTTCCGTTGTTACACTCATTCAAATAATACATTACACGTTTTTGGAGGAAAGTTGTGGAAGACGGTGAGTTTTCTATCTTAAAAGCACATAAAACAATTGGAAAGAAAGAGATTAATTAATGTTAATTTGCTTTTAATAAGGCTAATATTGGCAAGAAAAAATTTTCTTAATCTATACTTATATTAAAAGGTATACCATTTACCAGATTTAGTATAAAGAAAAGTCAACAACATTTATTGCATTACTATTTCCGTATTATACAATCTATAATTATATAAAAGAAGATTCTATTTACTACATTTACTATCCAAAAAAGTCAACTGCATTAAATGTCATTACTATTTTGGTATTATAATATTTTATTTATTTAATTGATTTATTTATTTGTTTTATTTTAAAAAGGTAAGTATAATAAAAAGATTTTAATAATAAAAAAATCAAATACCAAATAAAAATGTACACTTTGACTTATTTGATTATATTTGGTATTTGATTATACCAAATATATTCCTATTTAGTATATACATTAAATACTTACTAAAGTATTTATTTGTTTTATTTGTCAAAGTTAAGTATAGATTTGTTTATATTATCAAATCATAAAAAAATATTAAATCCATATTGTAAAAAAAAAAAAATCATATAATTTTATAACAATTCTACTACACTATTTAACAATATTTTTTTTATTATATAATAAAATAATAATTAAATATTATATGGTGAACAACAATAAGTAAAACTGTTACTTTCTCTTATATCAAGGGATAAATTTATATGCTAAAATTAAATTTTTATTAGTATAAATATTTTAGTGAGATAATATATTAATTATTTTACAAGCTAGCCCTAACATGCTCATATTTAATGTTTTAAAAGATGTAGAAAAGAATTTATAATAACTCTATTTTTTTTAGACTTAAACGTTGATTAAAAGAGGTAAAAAATTCCTAATTTTTTAGAATTAAACGTTGATTACCACCATAGATTGAGAGTTTATATTTAGTAAAATTCTTAATTGTAATAAAAAAATTAGTTTTTGCTATATTTTAGAATATCTTTAAATTCATTATAAAAAAAAAAGAAAAAAAAACTACAATGAAAAAAGCAAGTCAGCTATATATCAATTTGTTGTACTCCTCAAATCACATTCAGAATTTGGCTACAAGGAAAGGAAACTCATTGATTAAATATTATTTTGTCAATAGTCTTAATGTACAAGAGACTTTAAGACTCCACTTGAATATTATAAAATTTTTATTGAACATTGTACAATTTTCTTGCGTATTATAAACTTTTATTGAATATTGCATCTTATAATATAATATTCTCTAAATAAATATATCTCGTGCTTCGCACGGGTCACGTACTATATATATCCCGTACATTTTTCTTTATTCATGTATATAATTATAAGCCTGGATAAATAACATTAAAATTGTGCACCCCGTGCATCGCACGGGCTCTGTACTAGTTTATGTGTTAAAGCAAAGAACGACAGAATAGAGGGGAGTATCAAATTTGGTCTCACAGTTTCTTCATTTCTTCTTAATGGCAAAACATAGATGGGCTCAAAGCTTGAGATTTCAATTTTGATAACTGTACAGAAAAAGTAGTATGGAATCTACCAGACCAGATTTTCTGAGACACAAAATCGATGACCGTGTGCAGGAAGTAAGGGATTAAAAATACTGATCATTCTATTGTGGTGAAGTATGTTGATCATCTCACAACAATCATAAACTAGAAAAGGCTAAAAAACCAATACACTCGAAAGAAAAGAAAAAAAAAAAAATCGGTGAATGTGCATGAATGATGAATATGTGTGTATACTTACAAGGCAACACTGAAGAAGATAAGGAACCCCTTATTCTGGTTAAAAGCTGCCCGAGGAACGGACTTTCCTTGGTAGGAGTAAAACAGGGAATAGTAGCCCGCAATAGCCGAGACAATAAGAAAAGCAGTGGATAAATATCCCAATGCCACAGATGGATCTGATGGGTACTTGCAAATCACAACACCTTTCCCGCTTATTGGAATACCTTGTGAAGGCTGTGAAATTGTCCCACCAGATAAAATTAATAATACAAATTTGAAAAATATGCATAATTCCAATTTGCAATAACCCTTCCTAAGCAAAACACTTGTTGCACATATATAAACCTTTTAGTTTCATAACAAAGGAAAATTCAGTCATCTGTTTTGAACTAGAAATCTGAAATACCCCCAAAAATATTAATGTAAAACAGGCCATGAGAAGAATGAGATGAGATTTTGGTTGAATACCGATTTTGTTCTTATTGTGTATCAGGATTTTGCCCGTATCACATACATAATCATCCATTAGCACTCACTAAAAATGCATCTTAAGATGAAAAACAAGATCAGAGGCAAGCTAGTCCACTTAACAAGGTTAATACCCAGCCCAAAAGACTTTCTTAAGTATCACGTGCAATGTCTATATCAATATTTCTGATGAAAATATTGCAGAAATCATCAATAAAAATCAATTCTTCACAATCAATAGAAGAATTTCTTGAACAGAATTTGATTCTCTTCTCAATTGAAAATTCATAATCTGATCGAATTTAAGAACCAGATACAAGCCATCAGAAATTAAAGTAAGCAACAGCTATTCAATCACGATAAAGTTTGAGAACGAAAGATCCCACTTTTATTCGGATTAAAAAGGGATATTACCTTCTTGTTTTCAGCAATAACCCCAAGCACAAAGGACACAATTCCAAGGGTTGCCACTATCAGAGACATTTGCTTGATGGTAAACGCCATTGTTCTTCAGGTTACCTAAGAAAATTAGTAGTGGTGGCCAGTAACAAGTCAGTAAAAAGAATATTTTAAAAGCAAACAAAAACAGTCATTTAGCGAATAAGAACTCCTTTTATTATTAAAAAAAATTAATAAAAGACTCGAACTCAAAACCAAATCCATGGACTTTTGACAGGAAACAAATAATCAAGACTCATGGATTAAAGACAAAAAGGACGCCGATTTTGTTGAAAATTATATCTTTCTCCACCCGAATCAATCACCATCTTTTACAAAAAGAACANACAAATACGTCAACAGAATACATTCACGAAGGTCGAGGAGAACAAAAAAAGCAAACCAAGAAAAATTAAAAATTGTAATTGGCTATAGGCCAGAAAAGAAAAAGTAAACTGATTGCAAGGATGAATTTGAAATTCTGTGTCTACCTACAAAAATTTCAACGCCTCGCTGAAAGGCGGAAAGGGATTAAGGGAGGGTTTTAAGGAAGGAGGGAGATAGAGCGAGGCTAGTGGGTGTTATTATTCAGTAGATTTACAGCTGTTGGTTGACTGCTGACTTTTTAACCTTCCTTCATCATTCAGAATTCGATCAATTTTAGGATTCTAATAAATTTCCTTTTCCGATTGGGGCGGGGATTCCCTGCCATGAGCCACAGGATGAATGTGGACGCAACCTCTGCTTCAGGGTATGGCCGATAAAGACAAATCTAATTTACATGGCAAATTAAGAAAAGATCAAGGTTTTCAAAATGGTCAGCGATATTGTCATAGCACATTTTAACCGCAAGAGCAAAATTGATACTTATTTCCTAATCTGCCCTTATAAGTCAATTTTAGTTGTCAGAGCATATTTTCAGCCGACAAGGCAATTAAAAGGAGGACAATGTTGTCAATTCACAAACAACATGAAAGGGACATCATCTTCATCCCATGAACCAACTCGTACGTCCGCCATAAAAAGATCTTGAGCTTCACTGATCGTCTGCCACTTCGTTGCTGCTCGAAAATCGGAGCCACGACGGCCGCATACTTTCGGTTCGCCGGAGTAAGCGGTTGATAGCCGCCGAATTTACCACCTCGCCGGACTGAGAACAGAGGTGCAGCGCCGCCGGAAAACAGGCATTTTCGGCCACTTTAAAGCCATGTCCGACGGCCTGGAGGACGTCCGATCACCTGAGGGATTTTTGGGATGCTGTAGAAGACTTGTACGTGACCAGAAGCCCCGATACATTGAGAAAACGAGCTGTTTTGGTGCCCAGACTCACACGAATCGTGTGGCTACATGACACGACTCGTGTCGCGTGAGAGGGGGTCCGAAACGAGCTACGGCTTTTTCACACGACCCGTGTGACACATTCACACGAGTCGTGTGAACCTGGGAGCAGCCCATATGCTTTTTACGAACAAAAGTGTATGACTAAAAAGGTAATGTGGACATGGAGGCATGCACATGACAACCTTTTGGAGCTTCAATTATTGTTATTATAACTATAAGGGATCCAAATCAGCCATTTTTTCTACCTGCATAATTGATTCATTAATTTGTCAGCAAATATAGCACAAATCTTTGTAGCTAGTAGTATAGATAAGTAGAACTGATTGTATATAGTACAGGCCAAACCGAATGTTGGAACATAAATAGCTAACTGAATATAATAGTAATGTATAAAAAAGAAAATAAAAGTAGACTCATGTTGCACTAGAGAGAAGTTAAAACATGCAGCAGTTAAATTAATAGGCAAACATTGCAACAGACAAATTGTAACATTAACCTTTTGTTTTTAATGAAAATTCCATAAATAACTTGATATTAAAAAAATAATAAAAAAAAACATAAAAACCAAAAACATAAGCATCCATAAGGTGACATCATCTGCCAGCAACATCTTCAAAACATCCAAATCTTTTAGCAAACAATCTTTATTCCAATCTATCCTTCTTTATTGTAGTAGCTGTCACTTCACACCTGCAATAAAAAACATAAAAACCAAAAACATAAGCATCCATAAGGTGACATCATCTGCCAGCAACATCTTCAAAACATCCAAATCTTTAGCAAACAATCTTTATTCCAATCTGTCCTTCTTTATTGTAGTAGCTACCACTTGACACCTGCAATAGTTTGTGAAAAATCAAACACCGACCAAACTCATTCATCAAGTAGTTCGTTGCAAAATTGGATTAAATAAGAGCTGCAACAACATGATATTTTCCACAATAAATATACCAAGATGATTATTTTTTAGAATATTATGAGCACAACCTAAATGATAAAACTTGACATCAAAGGTTAACATAACAAAAATGCATACCCGAAATCATATTTCAGGTCCATTGAAACTCATCAAAAGGATTTGGTAGGGAATTCAAATCCAAAAAACTCATTGGACCTCTATCATCAATATATGGTGGGATTTGATCTTCATTCAAAATTTCTGCCACAATTTGGCTTCTCTGACTGCCACATTCTCCGTGTCTATGAGTTGTTTGCCTGAGTCTCGCCTCAACAATTTCAAATTGTGATGGATCTCTAGTTGTTGAACTCAAATTTTTCTTCCTTTTTCCACTAGACGGTCTTCCTCTACCTTGTTGTACATCTAACTCAAAGTTCAATGAAACCTCTTCATTAGCCAGCTCATGTAATTTCTCTTCAATATATTTCTTCCCACTAAGAGATAATAGCTGATACTTTTCTCGCAAACTACTAAACAATTCACTTAAGATGGAATCATTATTACTAGTCTGACCATCAACAAAAAAAGATTCTCTTGTGTCAATGCGCCATTGTGGATGTATGGCTGTAAGAGGTATTTCTCTTCCCACCCAGACACTCATCATGTGTGCACAAGGTAACCCCATAGTGGCCATAAAGCTACCGCTGCATGTCATACTCATCTTATGATTTTTTAACATCTCAAACTGTTGTGCTAACTTATCCAAAGCAAAGAATGACAAACGAGATACAACTTCTCTAAAAAATGGAACATTGCACCGGTGAGGAACTTGAATCCTTTCACTTGCAATTCTTACTTTGATTTCCTTAAGATCATTTTCAAGGAGAAGAGATATTTTCCGTTTCACACCTAACAAATCCCCAGTCGAGACGAATAAGTAGCCTTTCAATTTTGAATGTGCTCCTTCCGCTCTTGATGACGTACGCGTCCCAAAATGCATTTTTTTGATTTGTCCACGCACTAACAAAATGTTGTTTATATGGAATCCATGTATCTCGAAGATAATTCAAAATATCAACCTTTTCGCTGTATACCAGCTCCATGTCATACCATGCTTGATTGAAAGCCTCCTCCGTAGAAGAGTACACAACCCTATTCCATGTGGCCAAAAAGTCTTCCCAATCTTCTGTTTTACCAAAACCAACTTTACATTTGGAAAGAATATTTTTTTCAATGTGCCAAACACACAGAAAATTTGCAGCATTAGGGAAAACATCCTGAATAGCTTTAATCAATGCTAATTCTCTATCAGTTGCAATAACAGAGGGACAAATACCATCACCAAGCATTCCACGAAAGACACATAATGCCCAGTCATAATCTTTACGTCCTTCTTTTCTTAAAAATGCAAAGCACGAATAGAATGACGTATTAAAACTAGTCACACCAATGATCTCTAGTAATGGCATCTTATAGCGATTGGTCTTGTATGTGCAATCCATAACAAAAACAGTTGAATAACTTCTACTCAATTTAACCAACTCAGGATGTGCAAAGAAAACATGAGTTAAACAACCTTTCTCATCATGTTTATAGTCAAAAAGATATCCAGCCTCACCGAATTCTTCAAATAGTACTTGAATTATAGTACGTCCTTGAAGGTTGTCCTTTGCAATTTTTCTCTTCCTATTATAAACATCTCGAGCAACAATCCGAGTGCTGGGATTTTTTTGCCGCACTAATGTGATAATCTGACAAGGTTTAACTCCAGTTTTGCTCATCTCACTCACATCCATGATCTCTTCTTCTAAGAACACACGCTTAGATGGATGTCCAGCAATATCTTTGGAAGCTTCGTGATTATGTGAATCACATTTAAGGAATAGTTTCCAAAAACCTTCTTCTTCCATCTTCCCTTTTATCTAAAACGGACAATCTATGAGACGAGTAGTTGTTTTCCTTTGTCTCTCTCCAGATGGGGCGTTTAATCTGTCTCGATATATTCCTCCTCTATCACATCCAATGGTAACATATCTATTTTTTCTTGAACTCTTGATGGATAAACAATACCCTTGATCACTGTAAAATTGTTTTGCAGCATTTATAAGATCCTCACGAGTCTTGTATGCAACATCAAACAATATATTTTTGTCTACATCTCTTGCACTCTTTTGGTTAATGTGAGGGGTTGAAATCAAATTTTCATTCTCTTCAAATTCATGATGTGCCATAAATGCCCAATTGGAGACTCTACAAAAAGNAAAAAAAAAAAAACAGCAATCTAATATTGCAGTAGAGAAAATTTAACTTACAACATGGAACAATAAAAGAGACACTAACAAATATGGAGTGGTTGATTGTTCATCCTTAATATTGGAACCCTAAGTTACTTTTGGAGGGAATTTGCTTAATATTTTTGGAGGGAAAATGGCCATGGAGATGGGAAGATAACGCGGCAATTGTGTGAAAAAGAATTGGTAAGTAGAGAGTTAAAAATGATAAATAAGGGAATTTGACTTAGTAAGGGTAGATTAGGAAATAAGTGTCAATTTTGCTCTTGCGGCTAGAATGTGATCTGGCAATATCGCTGGCCTTTCAAAATTGAGGTACGCTATAATTGTTTTACTGATTGGATCCATTTATTAATATTTTTAAAAAGTTATATATAATTTTAAATATTAATAAATTATGTATGATATTATTAATTAAATGTTTAAATAATTCAAAACATATAAATACCTAAATTAGTTATTTAATAATTTACACATACCTAAAATATCTAAATGTTATTTTCAATATAAAATATATATTACAATTATTTTTCATAAAAATAAAAATAAAAATAAAATATAAGCGAATTAATCCTACCTGTCGATCTTTAACCGGTCAAAAAGCAATATTTTCGATGATTTTTGGGTGAGGATCGAGCTGTTTAGATGATCAGATCTTGGTATAACTGGTCAGATGAGCCGAATTCGATCACATTATTAAGACCATGAGGAAAAACAACAAATATGTTATAAAAATGTTATAGTTATAAAATAAAATAAATATTTTCTGGAATAAATTTTGATTAAATCAAGAGAGAATATGATAATGATAAAAAAGTGCATATTACTAGTAATGTATTATATATGTTCTTTTTTCTTTTTTATCGGTAAAAGTAAATTTATATATCAAAATTGTGGTTCGGACAACCGATAATCGTTATACAAAAATGCAGCGGGCAACCACAAGCTCGGTTCCGCACTCGTGAATAATAATACTACAAGGGCAACCACAGATCGATTGCTCCCTCAGGTCTCTAATCGTGACACAAATGTAAAGAAGCAGTAGCGCATCCCATGCCCCCAATGCTAGATATAAGCCTATCAAAGTCCAAGGCTTTTCTTCTCAAACTCGACAAGTACGTTCGGATGCACCGCAAATATAGTACGATAAACATGAGTTTTGATCTTACGTACCACAAGGCTCGGAGGTTGAGATTCATTCTCGAAAACCAACCTATTCCTCGCATTCCAAATGAAGTACACGGTTGCCGCGAGCGCCGCTTTCTTCATCTTGATTTGCCAATTAGCCCCTCTAGTCTCCTTC